GCTAATTTTTTCTATATATTTTTAGTTGTCCAGATAATTTCTTTCTAATTTTTTTAGTAGAGACGGGGTCTCGCTCTTGCTCAGGCTGGTCTCGAACTCCTGAGCTCAAACAATCCTGCCTCGGCCTCCCAGAGAGCTAGGATTACAGGCGTGAGCCACCGCACCCGGCCATACCCCTAGTCTTGACTACCTTTTGGGCCTGAGGTTTTGGGATGACCACATCTGGCCTCCCATCCCCATTCCAGGGGGCTCCAATCTCCCCCAGAGAGAGACAGGCCTGTGGAGCCGCCCTTCATGCCCTCTCTACCCTTGCGTCTACCCCGTCCCTCGGCCCCACAGACCAAGTTTGTGCAGTGCCCAGATGGGGAGCTCCAGAAGCGCAAAGAGGTGGTGCACACCGTGTCCCTGCATGAGATCGACGTCATCAACTCCCGCACCCAGGGCTTCCTGGCTCTCTTCTCAGGTGAAGCCCTTCCCTCCCTGTCCCCTCCTGCCCTGCGCCACCCCCAGGCCTGGCAGCTCTCCTCAGGTTGTCTCCCTGACAGCCTGTGAGTTTAGTTTATCCCTACCCTACCATTGCTGTTGAGTCCCTCCCTCAGGTCGTGTGATGGGGGTCCCTGCCCCCACTCCCCACTGGGTCCTCTGCTGCTGTTCCTCCTCTCTCAGGACGTTTCAGACTCCCCGGCCCTCCTGTCGCGTGCCCTCCTTCCTCTGTCCCTGGTATCCCATCTTTCTCTTATCTTCGGCCACTCTCCAGCCCTAGACTTCTGTCTCCTCTCTGACTTCCCCGATGCCGCCTGTGCCTCCCACAGGTGACACCGGGGAGATCAAGTCAGAAGTCCGAGAACAGATCAATGCCAAGGTGGCTGAGTGGCGTGAGGAGGGCAAGGCAGAGATCATCCCTGGGGTGAGCACCCAGGACACGGCCGGGGCAGGTGGCGGGGTGGGGGGCAGACTGGGAGGAGGGGTGTGGGCGGCGAGTCTGACACATGCCCCAATGGCTCCCAGGTGCTGTTCATTGACGAGGTCCACATGCTGGACATTGAGAGCTTCTCCTTCCTCAACCGGGCCCTGGAGAGTGACATGGCACCTGTCCTCATCATGGCCACTAACCGCGGCATCACACGGTGAGCCGGCTGCAGGGGGAACAGGGAGCATTTGTTGAGCACCTCGTTAGGTAGTATGCTGTGACTGTCGTGGCTCAGACACGTGCTTGTCCCTTAAACAAGGTAGGAGGGCAGGCATCTCTGCTCCACAAGGATGCCCAGGGCCCGTGCTCTTTCTGTCTCGTTGCTCCTGCAGCTCCTAAGGCTGCGGTTCCTAGACTGTGTGCCACAGCACCCCAGGGCGCTGCAGGAAACTCACGGGTGCTGTGGGATGATTTTTAATTTTGAGGGAAGCACAGTGACATGTCTTAGATACTACATAAGCCACTACAGTTGTTAAGTCACTTAGACCAAACTATTTAATCGGTGGAGCTCTCAGTGTTGTTTTTGGCCTAAGGATGGTGTGGAAAAATTCCCGAGACACGAAGGGCACCACGCGCTGATACATGGTGGCCCCTCTCCCCCTGGGAGTTGCGGGCACCCTGCGCCCCGTTGTCCCAGCTGGCTCTCCTGTCCACCTCGTCCACGTTTCAGCTCACATAGAGGGGGGGGATGTGGAAGGCAAGCAGCCCCCATAGGCTGGGATCCCGAGTCTGCTCCCCGCCCTCCACCAGCACTGGCCAGGCACATGGCCATGCCGGGGACTGTCGGCTCCGGCACCGCGCCGGGCGCCGCGGCCGTGGCCCCAGCTGAAACTGGGCAGTGGGGGTGGGTATCATGAAACGCAGGAAGAGTGCATGGCTCCTGGGACAGTGGGCACTTGTCCTACCTCTGTGCTCGGCTCTTTCCCTGGGTGAGTTCCTGGGACCCTCAGAAGTAGCTCAGGAGGTAGATACTGTCTTGGGCCCCATTTTACAGATCAGGACAGCAAGGCCTAGTGACTTGCTCAAGGCCACATGTCTAGAAGGTGGCAGTTCCAGAATTTCATCTTGGAATGGCTGGGCATTGGAACAGACACCCAGAGGTGACAGAGTTTGCAGCCGGTGCAGATCAGGGTGTGGGGCTGCCAGGGCCACCTGCGAGGAGGAACAGGTGCAGGCAGTCCTCGTCGTCTGCAGATGCTGTATTTGTGAATCTGCCTACTCGCTAACATTTATTTGTAATCCCCAAATAAATATTTGCACCACTAATTCGAGTCATCTGATGCGCACATTCCCAGCTGAGGTTGAACGAGGTGATGCTCTTCCTGCTTTTTTCAGCTCTCTTGCTGTAAACAAAGCATTCTTTTTGTGATCTATTTGGTGCTACATTTGTCATTTTTTTTTTTTTTTTGTGACTAAATTGTCAAGAGACATTTTAGTGCTGAAATGCTGTCTGGTATTCCTAAGTGCAAGAAGGTGATGATGTGCCTTTTGGGAGAAAATACATGTGTTGGAGATGGATGCTTCGTTCAGGCATAAGTTACAGTGCTGTCGATATCAGCCCGGTGTTGGTGAATGAACAATATATACTAAATAAGGTGTCTTTAAACGGAAGCACACTTAAACCAAAGTTATATATTGATTGATGAAAATGTTGTGACCAGAGGATTGAAGGAACTTCACCCTGTGTTCTTTCAGGAGCAATGGCTAAGGATTGGTGAATCCAGTGTTTGCAGCAGCTTTAGAACCTAACTACTATGAATAACAGGCATTGACTGTAGCTCCTAGCGCCCACCGAGTGCCAGTCCTGGGCTGGCCCTGGTGCAGGAGGGAACAAGGCAGACACAGTCCCTTCCCTTGTGCAGCTTTGTGTTGAGCAGAAAATGGGACCTTGATCCAGTAATCCTGGACATAGATATCTGGGCAAAGCCAGCCCCGGCTCTGCGTGAGGGTGCCCTCGGGGGATTGACGCAGCTGGGGAAGGCTGCGTAGGAGGTGACGTCAGGAGGTGATGGGAGCCGTGGGCTGAAGGTTACATGGCATTTGGGCCAGTGAGTGGGTCGTGGTGGGGGGAGGTGGGAGTACTCGAGTAGAGGGAACAGAGAGCTGGGTTCTGGGAGCATCGCCCTGACAGCCCTCCCTTCTGCCTCTCGCAGCATCCGGGGCACCAGCTACCAGAGCCCCCACGGCATCCCCATCGACCTGTTGGACCGGCTGCTCATTGTCTCCACTGCTCCCTACAGCGAGAAGGACACGAAGCAGATCCTCCGCATCCGGTACGGGCAGGACCAGGCTGTGCACCTGAGAGGCAGGGCTGGTGTCCACCCAGTTTGACAAATGGGACATTGAGGTCTGGGGGTGTGTGTGACTGGCCCAAGGTCACTGGGCCTGCAAGAAGAGAGGGCTGAGCTGGGCATCCAGGTAGTGGCCTCTGATCTGGAGGTGGGGGGGGCGCTGTGGGGAAAGGAGGGGAGGTACCGGTGACTGGGTTGGGGAACAGGGCCCTGGGTGGGGGTCAGGAAGCCTAGGTTTCAGGTCCAGCCTGTCCCTGCCCTTGCCTCAGTGGCTCTTCCAGCTTCAGCATTCTGTGGTTCTGAGCCTCAGACTCCATGCATTCCTGAGGAGGAGGACCGGGGGTGCTGCAGCCACTTCCTCAGCTGTCCCAGCCGAGCCACCCTCTGTCCCACCTGCCTGCAGGTGCGAGGAGGAAGACGTAGAGATGAGCGAGGACGCCTACACAGTGCTGACCCGCATCGGGCTGGAGACCTCGCTGCGCTACGCCATCCAGCTCATCACGGCCGCCAGCCTGGTGTGCAGGAAACGCAAGGTCAGCCGTGGGGTAGCGTTTACACAGGCAGGGGATTTTCGTCCCTCTCGTTTGCTTCTGTGTGGCCTGGCCTGGCCTGGCTATAGTGAGTGCTCAGTAGATACCGGCTGACTGCAGCTAGATGCTGTAAAGTCCATTTTACAGATCAGGAAACTGGTGACTGAGGCAGGATTTGAACCTATGAGATCTGACCTAGAATCCCTGCCCTTGTCTGCCACCCTCTGCTGCCTGGAGTGTGGAGGTGGCGTGGGCTGGGGTCCGGGTGCAGTGGGTTTCACAGAGAGGGTCCCCACTCAGGACTGACCGTCCCCCACCAGGGCACAGAGGTGCAGGTAGATGACATCAAGCGGGTCTACTCACTCTTTCTGGACGAGTCCCGCTCCACTCAATACATGAAGGAGTACCAGGACGCCTTCCTCTTCAACGAGCTCAGTGAGTGTCCCCACCCGTGCCTTGCACTCTAAGTGTCACCCGCAGTGGGAGGAGTAGGGAGCTTGGCCCAGAAAGCTCAGGTCGTGCCCTCTGGACCACACGGACCACATGGCCTCCTTTCTCTCCGCAGAAGGTGAAACCATGGACACCTCCTAAGCTGGTTGTCACCCCCCACCACCATCTTATTTTCTACCAGAGTTCCGACACTGTGACTTTGTATAAAATGGTTTTGAAGTTGAACCCATTTTGTGTGTGTGTGTTGTCGCCCTGAGCCCCCAGAAAGACACCCCCAGAGTGCAGATAGAGAAGGCTTTATTGGGGAGGTGGGAGGATGGAGCATCTGCTGGCTCCAGAAGTTGGGGGTGGGCGTGGAAGGTTGGGGTCTTTAGAGGAGGAGGAGACTTGGGAGATGGGGGTGGTCGCAGGCAAAGGGTTGGGCTCTGGGACCCCCGCAGTCAGAGCTGCTGAGGCGGCAGGCCCCACAGTGACAGCTGAGGGCCACGGGGAAGGAGACCACGGGGTCCACGCCAGGCGGGCAGCCGGGGAGCCGGATGGAGGCGAAGCGCAGCTCACGGTAGGTGCACACCGGCTGCGGCACGGGGGGCAGGGCGGCTGGCAGCACCCGCACCTGGAGGCCGTGTGGGTGGGGAAAAGGGCATCTGCCTGGGGCCAGGTCCTCACCTGAGCTCCCCAGCTGCCCCCACAGACCCCAGACTCAGGTGTCCAAGGGATCCCTGCACCTTCCCTCCCACGCACCCAATTTCCTAGTCCCTGCCAGGGGGACCAGACCCCTTCCAACCCCACTGCCACCTTCTGTCCTCTGGGTCCGGCCTTTCCACCCTAGCACTGAGGCGGCAGCACCTATTCTCAGGCCAGAAGTGCTGGCCCCTGCCAGCCCCGGGCAGCTCACCATGCTGGGGCAGTAGCCGGCGCAGATGCTGGTGGTGAAGGTGATGCAGATGGGGCAGGCCTCGTTCTCAGCAGCCAGGGTGGCGTTGATGGGCCGGCACAGTGGCCGCAGTGGCCCCCTGGACGCCCACACCCCACCCATGCTCAGCAGCAGCCACAGCAGCAGCCCCTGGGACAAGGCCAGTGCCTCAGGTCCAGCCTGAGACCTCAGCCTTGAGCCCTTACCCTCCCATTCATGAAGACACCACATTCAAGGACCCAGGGACCTGCTGGACATCTTCCATTCTGGACCCCCCCACAGCCCAAGGGACCCCAGACGTCCCATTGCACATACCCACCCTCAGGTACTGCCCCACCTGAAGCCTGCTGGCTGTCACGCCCTTCTAGAAAAGAGGCCTTCTTCACCAGGTTACAGGAGTCTGCCCCTCCTTGTGCCAGTTATGTCCTGGACAGAGGTGGAAGGTGCTCGGGGGCCCTACAGTCTTACCTGGAGCGTCTCCATCCTTGGCGCCTGCCCTACCTCATCTACCTGGCTTTATACCTGTGGGTTGTGGGGGTGGCAAGGCCACTGGGCGGTGGGTGGCAGCATGCAGAGGTAACCTAGACACTAATCCCGCTGGGGGCGAGAGGTGGACAAGGTCAGGGAGGCGCAGGAGGGGCTGAGCGAGCACACCATCCCTCTCCCCTCGGTGGCTGCAGTGCCCAGGGTGAGACGGCAGGATGAAGGTGAGCTCACAGACTCGGTCCCCAGGTCCTAGAGACTAATCCGTGTTGGAGGCACAGGAAGTAGAGTATAGGAAACCTGCCTCTGGCCATGATGAGGGGAGGCTGTAGGACGCTCCTCTAGAAAAGTGTTGGGCTGAAGCCTCAAGCCTATTCCACCTGACACTGAAAGACAGCAGCCGACCCTCTGCCACAGAGCAGCCTCTCAGGAGGGGCGTGGCGTCGGTATTGGCTTCTGCGGGATCCGAGAGGAAGGGGAGCCGTTTGCACACAGATGCTCCCCCAAGAAGGAATTCAGCCTGAGCCCCATCTCCCACCCACACCGAAGCCCCCATAAGCCAGAATGCCAGGAGCTGTCCTGGGAAATGTGTGATTTAAGCTATTTAACTCATTGATTAAGGCAAGCCCTGCCCCGTCTCCCGCAGGGGGCGTGTCCCACCCGCTGGTCCACCACGTCAACGTGCATTTTCTGAGCTTAGTCTCCCCCAAACCTGAAGCAACCGAGTGGGCATGTCCGTTTAGCCACGCCCACAGGTCAATAGACTCGGCGGGCGTGGCCCAAGCTGTTTCGCTCCCGCGTGGTGGGCGGGGCTCCGGACCTCAGCTCCGCCCAGTGTGCCCGGTCGCGGTCCTCCACGCTCGGCTTCGCTCACGGCGGTGTGGGGCGCGTTGGGGGCGGGGCTTGCCCGACTGGCTCAAACCGACGCGGGCTTCGAGCTGCCGTAGCAGGAGTTTTCGGTGCTGTAGGCTTTCGGCACGCTGTAGGTGCCCGGCAGGGGCTTCCAGTGGGGGCCGCCCCAGGGCACCTCCAGCGGGCAGAAACGGTCGAGCTGGCGGAGTGGATGCAGCGGGAGGCTGTAGGACTCCCGAGCCAGAGAGAGGGCCCCGCGGTGCGGCACGGCCTGCGTCACCGGGCGCGCGCGGGGTAGTCGGATCCGTGGCGGGCACGGCGGGAGCCGCGGGCCGTGGCCCCGGACCTGGGGCGTCTCCTTGAAGCTCGAAGTCAACGAGTCCTTGCGAGGATATCCGGACAGCTGGTTCCTGCGGGAGGGCAGCAGGATGGGGAGGACACGGCTGGATCCTCCCGACGGGGTTTAGGTTCAGACCGCGAGTCCCGAGGAGACTGCAGACCCGAACTCTTGCATTTCAAGGCGAGGGCACATTTGCAGGAATTGGGGACCCCTTAGGAAGGACGGGACCAGGGATGCGTAGCCTGGATTCCTGGGACCCTGAGGTACTTAAGGGCCTGGAAGCTGGGGCTTTCGCATCCTTGGGAAGGACTGAGTGCTCAAGTACCGACGGGGGTCCCGCCGCAGGCTTCCCGTCCCTACCGCATTTCCTGAGAGTTAACGCTAAGGACGCCTGGGTGCTCAAAGAGGAAGGGGCTGAGGTCTGAACTTGGCGCTTGCGTGTGCAGGAGCTGAAGGCTGAGACTACTGAGTCACAGGGGAGCCACACCAGGGGGTTCGGCGCCCCACCAGCCCGCACAGGTGCTGTGCAGGAGGGCGGTGCGGAGCGAGGATCCCGGCTCACTTCGGGTAGAAATCCCGGGCCGAGGTGGTCAGATAGAGCTGGTGGAGGTCCAGGACACCCCGGTCGGATATTGTGAACGGCCGGCCTGCCAGCTCGGGGTTCTTCGTCCAAGGGATTAGGGCCTGAGGAGGATTGGGGGAGGAGGGATGAGCAAGAGAAAGGTTTCAAGCCCCCTTCCAAGCCCGGGGTCCCAGACTTCTTCCATCTCAACATCCCTGCTGGACTCGGCCCCTCACGCCCCGCCCCCAGAACCAGAATGCTTCCTGACCAGTCCCCACGCTAGGGTACTTCAGCTTCTTTTCTCAAATCAGAACCCAGCCTCACTCCCGTAAATCCAAACACTCCTGCTGATCAAGGAACTCAAATCCAAGCCCCCAGCCACAAACAAACCCCCGTCCCGCCACTGGAGCTCAGCAGCATTTTGGGCAAAAATTCCACTATACCCCTCCCACCTTCGAACCTGACCCCGTGTCAGAATATTCTAGCTCCGCCTCCGGGGGCAAAGTGTCACCTAGCCTTGTTCCCCGACCTACAGTGGATTGTCTAGCTCCGCACTAGCCTCAGAGCCCGGATTTCGAGTTTGCAGTCCCGCCTCCTGGCCCCGCCTCAAGAAGTCCAAGTCCCTCCCCCACTTTCAGTAACCTCCTGATCCCGCCCCGGACCCTTTAGCCACGCCCCCAACTAAAAATTCCTTCTGGCCCCGCCCCAGACTCTCCCACCTCTGCCCCGTCGCGCCAGCCCTGTCTTCCACTTCGCTACCTGGGAAGGACCCCCACGGTGGTGGTCCGCAAGCTCCGGGGGCTGCGGCCCGACGTGGACGGTGGGGCACTGGTCCAGGCCGGGCCAGCTGGTGTACTGCGCCTTCGTCTCGCTCTGGTGCTTTGTGCGCAGAGGGAGGCGCCAGCCGCGGTGTCTGAGCTGCGGGAAGGCGACCCAGAGACCCAATGTGAGGGCGCAGGTGACTCCAGTGCGGTCCCCAGCCCAGTCCCCCGCGGATTTCGGCATCCCAGGACCTTACCTTTTCTCCTAAATCCTTGATCCCCACAGTCCGCTTGGGGTCCGCAGGCTCTGCGGCCCGGGGCTGCGCATAGGGCCCACCGTAGGTCTTGGGCACGTAAGTTGAGCCGGAGGTCGTCTCCCATCTGCTGATGACCTCGTCGAAAGCCCAGATGTGCGAATCCTTCTGTGCGGCCGGGGGTAGGGGCTCTGCGACCGTGAACTGGGGAGAAGGCCCCAGACTTCAGCTAAAAAGACCCAGGAGTCCGCTCCTCCACCCCCAGCTCTAACCTCTGCCGGTCGGCCCCCAGCCCTTTCCTCTCTCCAATCCCTGACATCCAGGTTCCTGGGCCCCTCCTCTCTCAGACCCAGCACCCCAGGACCCTCCCGCTTCAGACAGGAGCCCAAGCCCCCAAACCCTGCTTCCCTCAGCACCCACGTTTCTGGATCCCCAGGCCCCTCCTTCAGCCTAGGGTCCTCTCACCTGCACGGTGGGCGGGGGAAAGGACGCAGATGGGATAAAGTGGTGGGCAACGCCGCTGCTGGTGAGATGCCAGCTGGGCCAGGATCCAGGCACTTCAGTTCCAGAGATGGGGGACCACGGGGGCCCGTAGCGCAGAGCTAGAGTGCGACCAGCCATGGTCCCACCCCCACCGGAGCCAAGCAGGAGCAGGCTTGTTGTTGCTGTTGCCCCAGGTGACAGAACCCTCCCACCCTGAACCCGGCCAATGAAGGGCCAGCAGGCATGTGGATGAATAGAATGAGAAAGAGACCCAGGAATGGAAGCACAGGGACCCTAAGAGGGGCACGGGAACACAGGGAAACACGGGGAGGGGGTGAAGGCTCAGAGACAGGAGGGCAGAAGAGGAAAGGGAAGTAGAAGTTCAGAGAGAGAGCGTGTTTCAGCGATCTAGAGACCCTGGGGGTGGGGGAGACAGAGACCCAGAGACGAAGCAGCAGAGAGAGGACAGAGATGGGTGTCAGAGGTCAAGACAGATCCCCTCCCAGCACATCAGGAAATCCATGAGGAACGCCCCTTTTCCTACAGGGTCCAAACGCTCTTGGCTGCCTCTTCCCTCTGCCAGGCCTGCCCATCTCGGGGTAATGATTTCCAGACGTTCCTGGGGCTCCCCCAGCCTCCCTGTGTGCTGAAGCAGCCCCGCTGGCTGTCCCGCCTGCCTTCGATTTGGTTGAAAACTCCCACCTGGGTATGGGGTTGGGCGAAGAGGGAGAGACCCACAAAGAAATACACGGGGAAATACTTAGCAAAAAGTGGGACAAGGCCGGCCGCCATGGCTCACACCTGTAGTCCTAGCACTTTGGGAGGCCAAGGCAGGAGGATTGCTTGAGGCCAGGAGTTCAAGATCTGCCTGAGAAACATGGTGAGAACCCGTCTCTACAAAAAATAGGAAAATTAGCCGGGTGTGGTGGCACACCTGTAGTCCCAGCTACTGGGGAGGCTGAGGCAGGAAAATTGCTTGAGCCCAGGAGTTTGAGATTGCAATGGGCTATGATGACGCCACTGCTCTCTAGCCCAGGCAATAGAGCCAGACCTTGTCTAAAAAAAAGGGGGGGGGGGTGTGTGGAAAGAGCTTTGCTGAGTGAGAAAGAAATACAAGAATGGGTAAGAGACAGTGAGCGGGAAACAGACGGGGACAGAAAGGAAACTACTAACCCAGAGACAAAAGACACAGGAAGTTAGAGACAGAAGGAGGTGGCAAAAAGGAGCGACAGTGACAGATCTAAAACAAGGGGGTACAGAAACTGAGGCAGCCAGACCCCACTCTGTCCATGGGTCCAGGATGTGGAGGAGGGGGAAAGGGATGTCTATGTCCTTAGCTGGAAGCTGAACCTAAAAGTGTGTTCGTGTGTGTGTGTGTGTGTGTGTGTGTGTGTGTGTGTGTGTATGTGTGTGTTGGCAACAGGTGTGCGGCAATGGTGCAGTAAAACATGAAGGGGTGCTTGGAGGGTGAGGTCTGTCCCTGACTTACCTTGTCACCTCCTCACCATAAAGAATTTTTGGTGAAGGCCTCTGCCTCCTCAGCCCCCATTCTCTCATCCCACCAGCCCATTCTTCAGACAGGAGAAGCTGAGGCCACCTTCTGTGGCCTGGCCCAGGGTCCCAATGACCTCCCCTCCCCCAATCGAGGCTTCTGGGGCCCTTTCTGCTGGGCTATCAATGTCCAATGACCCCTGATCCTAGCCAGGGGGCAGGCCAATTGGTCAGAATCTCATGTCCCACTCAAGCTGGACAAATTTAAGGTCTATTTCTTTCCCAATGTGGGGTAAAGGTTGGGACGGGAAAGGAGGGGTAGAAACCTGACTCCAGCTCCCTGCCAAGGCTGACCTCTCCAGCATCCTGACCTCTTATGACTCAACGTCACTTGTGCTCCCATTGTGACAACTGGCTCACTCTGACCTCAGAATAAACTATACTAAGCCAACACTCGCCCCCTCTCACCAAGTAAATTTCTCATTTGACCTCCAGCTCCCAGATACTGAGAGGCCTTCTGTGGACCATGTCCTCAAGGTCCTTTGGCTGGTTGCTAGCATGTCCCAGTTTCTATCCTCCCCCACCCACTTCTTGACATATCCCCTCCTTTTTCTTGTCTCCAGGGTGGGCAAAATGGTGTCCTCTAAGATTGAGTGGTCAGCAACTTAAAGCCAAGGGCCTGGGATGGTCAAATCCATGACAGTTGATCTGAGGAGTTATGTATTAGGGCTGATAAACAGATAAACAGTAAACAGTAAATACTGGCCATTATTGTTACCATCATCATTATTATCCTCAAATTCCTCCAGGAGAACTCCTATTCATCCTTCAAAACCTCATTTAGTTTCATCGTCCATCCTGCACAAATTGAGCTCTCAAAATCAGAAAGCTGTGATTTTGTGATCATTTTGACAAGTTCCCAAACTGAGGCCCTTGAAGCAACCAGGCCACCTGTGAGGTCCCTCAGCATCCAGCTCTGTCTGTCTCTGCCTGACCAGTTCCTGGGCATGGGCCTCAAGCCCGGCCAGTCCGGCTGAGGAGTGTGCAGACGCAGGCAGTATCAATTCGAATCCATCGCCAGCCCACACGGCCCTGGGCGTCAGTGGTCAACGCTCGTACATAGGACTGCTTGGCCTTGCACTCGGACACCCAGTGCCTCCGGTCCACACCCCGGCAGCCTCCTCCACCCCCACCTGGGCCACCTTCCTCAGTGCCATCAGCCTTGCAGCGGGTCTCGAAGAAGTACTGGCGGAGGGGACTGCCGCCAGCTGCAGGCACCTCGCCCAGCACCTCCACCTCGCGTCCACGCAAGTCCACAGCTGTCCGGCGATCTGTCACCCAGCCGCTGACGGCATCGCACACGGCCAGCTCGCCCCGGCGACTTGCTGGTGCTGTCTCGCTCACCCCGCGTCGACTGCGGTTGGCTAGGATGCCTGCTGGCTCCCCAAAGGCCCCGGCCTCCAGCAGGAAGAGCAGAGGGGGCCCAGCAGGGGCACCCCTGGACAGGGCTACTCGGGGGGACAGGAGGTCCCATTCAGGGGCTAGAAAAGGGGGCAGTGGTGAGGGTGGGGGGTGGGGCTCCATTGGGACACTGGGGAGGAGGAAGAGGAGGAGGATGGGGAGGGAGCATGAGGGGAGGGGGAGCATCTCTTGGAGCACCTGGAGACAGAGAAGGAGAACAGGGTTAGAGAGGAGGGTAAAAATTTAAGGGGAGACAGAAGTTGGGAACCCTACAGGAGGCCCGATACCAGAACCATGGTGCAGTCCTTGTTCTAGAACCTTGGGGGACCCTATACTTTAGGACATAGTTAATGCCCAACTTCTAGACTAATAATCATTCAACTACTATTACTTAATAGCCAACAAATGGGGAAATACATGAGGCTCAGAGAAGTTGGTTACTTGGACCAGGTTCCACAGCCAGCAAATGGCACAGAGGGACTTAAACTCTGTCTAGGCAACTCCACTCTGCCACCCTGCCTCTACAACCAGAGGAATCCTATGTCCTGTAGCATGGAGGACATTCCAAAAAAATTTTTTTAAGAGATGGGATCTTGCTACATTGCCCAGGCTGGCCTTGCACTCCTGGGCTCAAGCAATCCTTCTGCCTCAGACTCTCAGGTAGTCAGAACCACAGGCATGTGCCACCACACCCAATGACCTTCCAAAATTTTGAGAAAGACCACAATCTGGAATCCTAGGGAGAGCAAATTCAGCTCAAAACTGCCACTAACAAGGCAAGACACTTCCCTTCTCAGGCTGGGCTTCACCTTCCCTGTGTGTGCAATTAACCTGGGGCTGGGAGAGCCTGGTGGGGGTGTGGATGTTGCAGGTTCTCTGCAACATTCTGGAAGCCTGGTGGTCCTGGGAAAGGGAGGCGTGGAGAGGAAGGAGAAGCAGCCAGTGGTTACCTGACCTGTCAGCACCTCCTCCACCTCCGAGCTCTGGGGCTGGGGGCCCCCAGATTCCCGGGGGCCCTTGCGGAGGACACAGGTGGCTCCCTCCTTCCTGACATCTCAGAAGAGAGAGGGGCAACCAGCTGGGGGAAGAAGAGAACAGGCAGGTTGTATAGGCAGCGGCGGAGGGGGCCTCAATCCCAAACGCCCCCTTCCCAGAATTCCTCTGAGAGTGTAGGGTACCAAGAGTCAAGGCCCCGCCCCTTCCCAGAGGCCCCCTTTCTGCCCAGGTGATGGCTTCTGGCTGGGATGGGAAGCAGATGAGGGGAGGAGACGGGAGGAGAGAGGCGGCGGAGGAAGGAGGCTGGGAGAGATGACATCCCCCTCGGCCCATTCATCTCCCAGACAGGGCGGGGGCAGAACCGCCTGGACACCTGGGTCCCTGAGCGCCCCCGCTCAAGAAGCCCTGGGTCCCCAAGGCTGTTTGTTGGAATGTTCCCTCCTCGCAGGACAGGCCAGGGCCCGCCCAAGACTTCTCCTGCACATACCTGGAGTGGCTGCCTGCCCCGGCCGGGAGACGGCGAAACGGGAAGAGCGGGAGTGAAGAGGCGCGCAGGCGGACCCGACCAAGACCCGGCGTGTGGGTCCGCAGCTGCCTGTTCCCTCGACCCGGGAGTCCCGGCCCCCAGCGCCCTCCTCCCTCAGACCCAGGAGTTCCGGAGTTCAGGCCTCCCCGCCCCGGGCACTCAGAAATGCGGACTCCCAGGCCTGCGTTTCCCCAGAAGATTTGAGCTGAGGGTCCAGACTCCTGAGACCCCTCTGCGGGGGACCGGCTGCATAACTGGGGCATTTCCCTCCTGCCTCAGTTTCCTCCGCCAAGCCCCGCCCCTGTCGGCCCCGCCCCCGTCCCTCCCTTCCCGGGGGCAGGGCGACCCGGACGCCGGAATCCCGGGGGAGGAGGCGCGGAAGCTCTTACCTGGGGCGCCCTCCTCGGCTGCCCCGGCTGCCCTGGGCGCGGCGGCAGCTCCTCCTCCCGCTCGCTGGCTGCAGGGACGCCGCTGGCCCGCCGGCTGCTCGCTGCCGGCGCTCGGAGGGCCCGGGTCGGGGGCGGGGCGGCGCCCGACGGCGGAGGAGGGGCCGGGGGATCCCGCCTTGCACGAGCGTGCCGAGACCTCCGAAGCCCGGCCAGGCTTGCTCAAGCCGGCCCGCCTCAGAGTCAGGGGTCCAGCCCCCAGCCCCCTCCTCCTCAGACTCAGGGGTCCGGGCCCCCAGCCCCTCCTCCC